ACATCTCATTGCCTTCGAGTTTCATCATCTCTCTTTAAAAAAATGCCCATTTTTGCGATGATATTTTATTTAGAAAAGGAATAGCTAGGTCTTTTTAGAGCTACGCGTGGATTTTAGGATCTTAATATCTCCGTTCGCGAGAAAAAAGGGTTTAACGGAACGTGCTTAACGAAGTAGCACGGTTCCTTGGCTGGAAATATGCAAATTTACAAGAACGAGAGGGAGAGGGAGAGAGGGGCCTGAGAAACACTTGGGAAAGGGGTCGCGCGATGGACAATTTTTTGACCAGAGCATACTAATGTCAACCGTAGAAAAACCGGCAGAAAAACGAAGGGATAGGCAACCGGCGAACATTACTATGCGTGAGATTTTCGTTCGAGATGCCGTAGTATATCGCAGCTGCTTTATTTCTCGTGGAAATTACGCGAGAATCAGGGGGTCGATTGTCTGTCTTGAAACGAGGTAAAAATTACAAAAATAAGGAAATTCGTTAGAGTATCTATAATTTCATTTGTCGAAATCTAGTAAATCTATCCACTTTTGTAATTTTCACTTCGTTTCAAGAGACACAAAATCGACCTCCAGAACCTCATTTCAAGATTCGGAAACTTTCCCAAATATAATTTTAAGAAAAAATACAAAACTCATGAGTCATGATGCATCAATTACCGGTTTATAATTTGCTTTTTGGAATTTGAGAAATCATTAATGAAATATACGAGATTCACAACTACAGTTTTTACTGTCGAATCATATAGTACCCGCGACCGATCAAGAAATGTAATATAGGATCAAAAATATCTGAGAAAAACTACTGTTACATATTTTTTTAGTTTTCTTAGGAAAAAAAACGGAATTTTGGAAGACAATAAACTTATAAATAATTTTAGAAATATGACTATTGCGTAAAAAATGAAAAACTGCTCAAATATATACATAGGTGTTTGTACCTTTAGCCGATATGTGTTTACACTATGTTACAATAATAAAGTAAGATTTTAAAAAATGAGATTGTACGTTGTAACATTCACATAAAGAAAATTAAACATTTTTTTATATATAAAAATGTGTTTTTAATTAGCATAATTTTATTAGCTTTGAAATAGTTCTTCAAATATTTCACAACTCAAAAAAGCAAATTATTTTGCTGTGTACCCATTTTGAGAACCTTTCAGTTCCATTAATATTCCTAATTGCATCAGTTACAAGATACAAATGCTGCGAAGTTGTTTCTAGAATGTTAAGAGGAATTTCACAATCTTATGCCGCTTGCAATTTACAAACAACTGAAACTCAGATTTCAATGTCACAAAATAAATCGATGTCCGCGTTACATAGTGTCGAAAATTTATATCTCGTTAATAATTAACAATTAATAATAGCAGCAATAATATTAATAATAGTAACAAAGTAGTATCACATTATCGTATCAGATGTGCCATTTGTGTGACGATTGGTTTCGCAAATTTGATAAACAAGTGTACATAATTAATAATAAGTTCTTTAACAAAACGGTAAAGCATGGATAAACGATATACATATAATATGGCGGCGCCCATATTTTTGACGGCTGTCAAAATATAATTCAAAAGAGTTGCATAAAATATACTGTAATTATGAGAAATTATTATTTCTACAAATTACTTGAAATAATCATTTTAATTTTGCAAACACATTATTTTATGCTCTTTTTTTCATCTTTTTGATTAAATTAATTAAGCGTTGTCATCTTTTGTGCAATAACATTTTTTAAAACAAAAATGTTCTTTTTTTACGTTTTTAACGTTTTAACTTACCGTTATTTATTAAAAATAAATTACGAACCCAAGCGGGAATATTGGTATCACTTTAAGTATTGTACTTCTTTTTATTTAATATGCAATGATGTAACGGAATTGCAATTACAAATTGTATCATCGCACCGATCGCGATGATCGTATTTCGTTTTGCGGGAAGACAACCATTTAGAAGGCAGTGCTTGGGAATAGCAAGAACATGATAAGACATTATTTAATACTGAATTCTTAAGTACTCGATTATGTTCCTGTGCAAAATCTCTGCTTGACAAAACTTTTAAGACACAGAAGACATATAGACACTATATCTATATATACTTAACACATACACAATCGTTATAAAAGTATAAGTTATCAAAATGTAGAAAATAGCCTATTAACTTACATCGATGCGATAAGTCGAGCGATAAAGAGGTAATCGGTGTAACTGCAAAAGCAAATGCATGCTTATGCCATTATTATCAGCATAAGCTCTTGTCACCATAGTGTATCTTGTCTCTATATTAGTCTTAGCGTCTAAGAGAAAAGTGAACAGTTATATCTTACATTCTGAAGAATATAAACATAAGAATTCTACCTACGCGTCAACAGTAGGTACGTGGCATTGAACAGCTGTGAACAATAACGTAACAGAGAACTTCGACGAGTATGTATTATACACGTAAATATGTAAAAAAAATCGGTTAATCATTAAATAAAATCAAGCACACTATAATTAATTGCTTCAATCTGATTATCTCATGTTTTCGTAATTATTCACGGAGGATCGTTAATAAATTAGTTACAAATCATATCCATCCCCAGTCTCTTCTACTCGCGAATAGAATAAAATTTATTATCAAAATCTTATCTGCGAAAAGATTTGGATTAAAAGTACATGAGATAAAAAGAACACATCACACGATAGATTTTCAAATCGAGTCGACGATAAAAATATTTTTCGACTGATCTTAACACAAACAGCTTTTTAGGAACTCGTAGGCGCTCTATTCTTAAGGCTACTTTGTAATTTCAGGAGCGATGCGTCGACAATTATGGTAGTTCGTTTACTAAAGCTACAAAATATAAATCTTTAGTATATATAATACTTTCTGTGACGGTTTTGCGATTTTTTTTGAACAAGTATACACTCGTATTGCGTTAGCTTTCGTACGTTATAAAATTACAAAATAGTGCGGTTAATGTACTAACAAGGGAAAAATGCATCGAAATCGGCAGAGGGAGCCTTGCTTTCTAGAAAGCATATGTAAACTAATGAGAATATACATATAAAAACACGTTCTTTTTCTCTCTCTTCTTGTTTTCGGACATATTAATGGAAGCATCAGGGATGTGGAAGTTTATACACAACCATACTCGTACCATATCGGACTGCCAGTCTTTGGCTCTTTCTCAGCGGGAGGTTCTGCGAGCGCTTCATCTTGCGCTGCATCCTTTATCGGACTGCCAATGTTCTTCGACTCGTTTATGACTGCCGATACTTTATTGTAGATCAAAAAGGGACGTGACTCGACTTGCGCTTCCGGTTTCGTTTCCATCGGCGCGGCGTGCACGTTGTCTCCTTGTTCCTGGAAGGACTCGCTCAGCAACCTGTCTGCCTGTGTTTCAAAGATTTCCTTGATATACATTGCATTCTTGTGACAGATTATTATTTTTGTTATTATATAATTATTCCTTACAGGTAAAGAAGTGGACGATGGTGGGGAATCATCAGTATAGTACACCGTTCTTCTGGTTCCAGCGTGCCCAAGCGCGTCCGATCCGAAGACTCTGCTCGGTCCTGGAAACAAAATAGTAGCTACATTCCTAATATTGTCATAATCAATGAATTAAACATCTCTTATTCTAAGAAATCATTTACCGGGTAAACGATAGTCGTCGGTGCTCGCATCTGAATCATTTCCGCCTGTGTCCGACTCGTATGTTTTACTGTCTGACTGCTTGGAATCTTCGGCCCATGAACGTCGATTCTACAATAGATAAGCAAGTTTTACTATATGAAGTAAACATAGTATATTTTATTATATATAATTATTTACCTTATTGAGAAGTTCCGACCCGGCTTTTCTGACTCTGCGAACTAAACTGGCCCCAAATCCTTTCCTGTATTAAAAACATAACATGTGTAAAGTTTCGATAAGAAGCAAGTTGCATCATATATAAAATTTAAAGAAAATATAAATCATAAAATTATGATTTTCTGGTAAACGTACTTCTTGGTAGTGCAGCTGTTCAATTTTCTGTAGTGCTCCATAATCTTGTCTTCCAACTTTTCTTTTTGTCTGTACAAATGATTAACTTTATCCCTGTAACACATAGTTAATAAAATGAGTTGCTGAATAAAAACTGAATTAATATAATTAATGCATTAAAAGACTCGAAATATAATGTTATAAAAAAATAATGAGCTGTCATACTAACGCGAATAATTTCTCTTCCATGTGATAATGCTCCTTGTCTTGAAGCGAATGTGTTAAAAGTTCGTGGTATTGTGTAAATAATAAACTTATATGTTCCATTAAAGAACGTCTGTCATTGTCCAACCCAGAGTTCATTTCTAGCAGCCTCTTTAAAAAAAAGGAAATAACATGCATTCTAGTTTTTCTCATAATCAATAAACTGTGATATTGTTATAAAATCATATACATACATCGCATCGTTCATGAAGGCTATTGACCTCTAACTTCAGATCCGAGCATTGTTCGTCTTTGACACTGAGTTCGCCCTGCATTTCAGTCTGCTTTAAACTGAGGCGGTTCATCTCGATTTTATTCTTCCTATAATCATCCTGCAAATTTCTATACTCTGCTTTCAATCTTTCACTCGCAGTATATAGGTTTCTAAAGTCATCCTAGAATATTTGCAGGGTAATTAAAATCTAAATTTTAAATTATCGATAAAACGAGATTTATGTACAATATATCAGATGTTTCAGTCATATTTCTTACAAATAGATACCTTCAACTTGGAATGTTCTCCTCGCAAATTATTTAAGCTTTTCGTGTTATTAATCAGGGCTTCCCGTTCAGATTGCAGTGTTTCACTTCTCGCCTCTAATCTCTCACAGGTCTCGCGCAACGTTCTATTTTCATTCTTCACGTCTCTTAAATTCGATTTAAGAGAGTCCCGTTCGCGACGCAGATTCTCATACTCGTTGTTCAATTGTTCATGCAAGGATTGTAAGGTGTTTTGATCGTGAATTAGCGCGGAATATACGTTCTGCTGTGTGCTACGTTCTTTCAAGAGCTATATGTGCATACATAATGGTTAAGTATATAAAAATTTTAAGATATATAGAGCATAATAAAAGAAACAAAATAAAAATTACACGAAAACATAAATACCTCTTCTTTTTCCGCAACAAGTTGCGAATTGGCCAATTGCAATGCGGTATGCTGCGCGGTTAACGAATTGCTTTGCGACTGTAACGTTGTTATGTGAACCTGGAGTTTCGCATTCTCGGACAATAGATGCTCCACTGCCGTTTCAGACATAGATGCCTTTATTTGCAAATGTTTCAATTCTCTCTAAAATTGGAGAATAAAATATAATATAAAGTGCAAACAATAATGGAAATCTTTTAAATGTTAATACCTTTAAAGGTTCTATCACGATCTCTAAGGTCTTATTAACATCGCTTTCCTTGTCGGTGCAAGCTGTGGATTCGGATGTCGTTTCTTCACTGCTCTCCGATACGAAGGATTTTTTAATAAGATTGATCACTTCTGGTATTTGAGCAATTCTACAACAATTAAATTTATATACATAATTACAAACTAGCAAGAGCAAATTTATTTCCGCATTGATTTCTCTGTTATCCATACATAATGGTTATCCATACCTTTCCAATATAGTTTCCACAGGTTGGGACAGCAATATATTATCGCTAAGGCCGAGTTTCTCCAATACCGTGTACAGCTGTTGATTACTTAGCTTTTCTGCGACGAGATTAGATTGAAGTATCTCTAAAGTTTCTCTATCAATCGCAGCTCGTGAGTCGAGCTCTTTGCTGGACCGCTCAATTTCTTGCAATCTAGAAAAAAAAAAACATTTTTGATATTTTGATAAAGGCCATATTCAAAGTTATTAAAAATAATTAACTTATTATACAAACAATGGATTTCTTCAAACACACCTCGATATCTGCGTAACACAATCTTGTAACTCCTGCTCAAGTTGTACTACTTTCCTCTCCAAGACTTCAATTGTATTTGTTGCTTTATCTAAGGCTACATCTTTCTCCTAAAATATCACGCAAGATTGTTTACGTCTATATTAAGTATTCATAATATGCGATTAATATTCACCTCAATTGTTTCTCTATATTTGTGAATATCGCGTTGTGCGGCATCTTTCTCTTTCTCTGTCGCCGTTAGTCTTGCTTCGAGATCGAGGCACTTGGAGTTAATATCGTTGATATTGTTTTCGATGAGCTTCAATTCCTCAACCTTTTGATTTGTCGTTTCCAGAGTGCGTTCTAAATCATCGGCACGTCGTTGCACGCTCTCTAATAATAGCTGAACACGTTGTTTCTCTTTCACCGCCGTATCATAATTTTTTTCCAGTTCCATCATTTTTACATGGTGAGTCTAAATATGGCACGAATCAAAGATTAGATAAACACATCAATATTGAAATAAAGTATTCAGAAAAGCGTAATTTGATCTAACATACTTGGACTTCTTGTTGCTGCTTCTCGAAAGAGGTTCGTTGATTTTTAAGAGTATTCTGAAGTTTCTTGTTTTCTTCCAATGCCTGCTTGCAGACTAATTCCAGGTCGGTATTTTGTTGCGTGAGTCTTTCTTTATTATCGCTCAATGATTCAATCTTCAAGGAGAGTTTCTTTTTCTCCTTCTCCAGTTCCAAAACGCGAGAGGAATTTTCATGGAATGAACTCTCTTTCAGTGAATCGATTAAAGTATTTAAACGGCGATTTTCCAGTTCTAATTTTAATGCTCGTGTCTGAGCGTTGCTCGTCAATTGTTCGGACAGTCTGTTATCATTGTGCACTAAGAACATTAATTAAATGTCATTTAGTTGTCTTCATTTAAATAAAATATAATTTTACTAATATTTTTTTTACTGCAAGATTACCTGGTTCTTCGGAGTCACTAGAGCCAGCTAATGCAGCCTCACTAGCAGCAGCTTTCGTTAATTGATGCAGTTGTGTATTTTCCTCAACGAGCTCTTGATATTTTTCTTTGTCAGCAGCACGTTCCTGTAAATTATTTTTAATTTCTTATTTACATCTTATTACGGATACTATCAGTTTCGTGTTGATACTATAAAATTCCTGAAATTCTTACCAATGCCACATCGTTAAGCAACTGCTTATACTTAATAATTTCAGATTCGAGCTCCAATACTTTGTCTGCTCTGTTTCTTGACGAGCTTAATTGTTCTTCAAGCATTTCTCTGGTCTCCATTAAAACTCTTAAATGTATATATAACAATTATTAAATGTATAATAATTACTTTACTCATTATACTGTTAAAATATTACAGAACATATAACGTATATTACCTATTATCCTCACGTAACTCTTCTATCCGAGTCTTATAAAATTCGATGTCCGTAAGTTTTTCTCTATAACGTGTGACCTCTATTTCTAAACGGTCTGCTCTGTCCGCTCTTTCAATCACAGCATCCAATTCATCTCTGTATGATTTAGCAGTACGAGCTTCGTGCATCAACTCTTGATTCTAAAATTATAAACTTTATGTACTCCACACCACAAACATGCAAATTACTCGATGTATTACCTCTTGCCTTAGTTTTACAAGCAATGTTTTATTATGCTCCAGTTCTTCCTTACATTCGAGTAGAGCTTCCGTTTTTTCTTCCCTATAAAAATTACACACATGGTAATTTCTAACAATTCTTCACGAGAAAATGAATATTAAAAAATATAAAATAAATTTTCTCATTTTTAACTGTTCTCAAAAAAAATTATTTTATACATGAAAGTAGTAGTATCTATAAAAGAAAGTTTGATTTTTCAGAAAATACGTACAATTCCTGGCGCTGTTTCCGAACCTTAGACTTCCAGTCAGCCAATTCAACCGCGTAATGATGATTATCTTCTCTTTCCGTTTTGGCGACAGGATGAGACTGCTGCACTTTACTTATATCTTCCGATTCTGCACTGATAGACGAATCGTTTCGTTCAACGCTATCGTCCAGCACTGTGTCCCTCCACTTCTGCTTTCACAAAATGTAATATTACAATAATTGTAATATCAAACTGTGCATACTCTTTCAAATGTACCAACAAAACAATTATCCAATTAAGAGACTGGCGTACCTCCCGATATAAATCCAATTCTTGGATCCATTTTTTTATTTGGACAAACAGGTAACCCATATTTGCATTCTCCATAGCATCTTGCGTAATAACTATGTCTTGGTGATCCGTAACCTGAATACATACATATTTATACATAAATTTCACTAATATCATTTTTTCAGCTATGTTAATATAATTTATTTCTGTAGTATCTCTCTATCTTTATTAGTAATTACTTTCAGTGGTAACGATACCTGCTTAATGCACTCCACTATCGCGAGCTGAATGTCGACGTGCAGAGTCTTTATCTTGGTAATAAACTTCTCCTTATTCGGACATTGGACAGCACATCCGAGAAGCAACAACAGCAACAACTTCATATCCGCTATGTACAATTCTGGCTCCTTTCCCAAATTCGTAACGTCGGGCAATTTTAAAATCACATGATCTAACTCCTCTTCGTAAAATTGTTTTATGTTCTGTATCACGGTCCTCAAGTTTTTCGTACGGATAACGGGATTGTTGTTGGACGGCACCACTTCATCGTGCAGCGGTTCTGGATTGCTACAAGTAACGAAAGCAAATATTAACATTACACTTCAACATCTCAATGTTCCACAATCGCGAACTGATAACTCAACATCTCTCATACACTAAAGAACTCACATCTGCAGGAAGACACTATGCAACAAGACACCGTCCACTAAGTCCTCGTAGTTCGCCAATACATTGGGATCTTCCAAACAGCTAGCGAACTGAAGGCAAACCAAAGAACATTCTTGATCAAAATCTCACCAAATCGAGTCGATACACACTTCAATGATCTCGTCACACATCCTCATGCATCGACAAGGAAACATCCGAGTTTCTCAGTCGAGAAGACTCACCCAGGTGACCAGCGGCCCCGCCAAGAAATCGTCAATCTCCGAGGAGGCCATTTTCGTGGGACTCGACGCAGGACGAGCGTGTACGCGGTTATCATCTGTCTGTCGACGTTGACGTTTACCTTTCCCACGACGGGGCACCGTGAGGGGGGAATCGGTGCCGTCGGAGGCTGCCCCGCGAATTCGTGGTGAGAGTCGCGCGACTCCAAGCCCACCCCCCGTTCCCCCCGAGAGCCTACGGCCTACGGTGGGAAACCTCCTCGGAGGCGAACCTCCCGAATCGCTCGCGAGGACCCCCGCGTTCAAATCGCCGCACGATCACGTCGGCGGACCGACGCGCGCGGCTCGGACGTCGTCGCGGACGGAGACGCGGATCGTCGGCGCCCACGGCGTCGCGACGCACGTCATTCGCGCGGGAGGAGAACGCGTTTACCGTCCCGTCGCCGGTTTCAACCGAAGCCGAAACCTGCCTCGCTACCGGACGTGCTGCCGGTACGACGAAAATCCTCGGGAGCTCTCACAGCTGATCGTTTTCATAACAAAAACAGCGAGAACGCGACCATGAGCGTCGCGCAGGCTCGATCGTGCGCGATTGGCGATTAGCTTAAAGTCCGTTCAGACGGACTCGCGCGCGTTGAACATCAGCGGGCTGCGAGTCCGAAGTTGATCCGACCAATCGGACAACTTGCGTCTCAATTCACATCACGTCAATTTTGGTTGAATAAAATTCTAATATCAATTTTGTGAAACTAATTTGTCACAAACGTTAAAAAATAGGCTCGCAATAATCGCAAACGATTTACAAACAAAATACACTCGGAAAAGTTAAAAATAATCAAATTTAATCATTTCTGTCGGCTAGCTTCATGTAGGGTGCTCTGCTCTGCGAGGACACGTGGGGATTGTTTCCCGAACGCCGCAAACGAGAGATAAGAGTGACGTTTGAACGTTCGGTTCATTCGTTTTCGTCGCCGGATGCCGTTGAATCCCGTTGAATTTGATAAAGCGGTCCTTTTCTTTCGTAATTGTCGAGAAAGTCAATCGAGCGTTCAACATGGTCTTCGTGGGGTTACCGTAAGTATTGATAAGATAAACATAGTTCAACAACAATATCGAAATGAGACCAGAACGCTGCACATGCAACGTATTTATTTAAAAGATTCCGATTTGTCTTCAACAATGTAATTTCGAACTTCGTAATCTTGTTCTATCACGATTTACAATCGTGGAGCACTTGGGGTTTCAGGACAAGATTGCAAGAAGTTAGGTTATTTCACCTCCCATCCTATTTTCAGGGAGACTACCGCCTACTTCTGGACGAAGAACAGAAGGGCAACGTACGGTACCTGGCCTTTCGAGGACTCCGATAAGTGCAACGCGGAGCGTATGGCTGCCGCTGGATTTTACGTTATTGGGGACAACAAAGAGCCAGACTTGGTCGAATGTTTCATTTGTGGCAAGCAGCTGGATGGTTGGGAGCCGAACGATGATCCGTGGTAGGTCAAGCAACGACGTGATTTGTATGCACATTTATTATTGTTATTTTTGTCGACAAAAACTTTAAAACCGAGAATTTGTAGGAGCGAGCATGAGAAGCATCAGTCGGATTGTCCGTTCGTCAAATTAAACAAGCAAAATGAAATGGAATGGACAGTGAATGAATTATATGATTTATACCGAAAGTACAAGACGAAAGAATTAGTAAGTATAATTGTGTATGTGCTTTAAATTATATTTGATTGTCGATACCTATTTAGTTTACATTGTACTTAATAACAGTACCACGCAAATCTATTTCGCAGAAGAACGAAGTGAAAAGAAGTGTCGAGACTCTGAAAGATAAAGCGGCACAGTTAACGAACGAGCTGTTTGTACACAGATCATCGCACAAGAATAAGAAGAGCACCGGTTAATTATTATAGATTTTGTACGATAATGAGAAGAGCATCGGTTAATTATAGATTTTGTACGATATGTCTGCCCTATTTTGAGAACTAATTAAATATATTTTGCAATGCTTAAGAAATATATTGCGTACAAGCAATCAAATTTCACCTTTTAATTATTAATTAATTTAAACGTTAGTTACAAAGATATTCAACAGACAACAGAAAATCTATAGGATATACGTAACGTGAAGTAAGATTTTTCACCACGTGCTGTTGTGCTTGGTTGCTATGATATGGAGGGAAAAACTCGCGCTTGCGCGTTATAGAATATTCCAGCAGCCGCTAAAATGCTCATTAGTCGCGTACATAACATGTTATATTTAAAGGTATCGTCAGATCCCTCCTAGCAAAGGTAGAAACGATATTAAACAAAATAAAAAAATTTTAATAAATAGATAAATAACAGCTTATAAAAAATTAAGTAAATTTATTAAATTTATTTGTTGCTTCCGCCAACTTATAAAAATACTAACATTTGAACATTAATATTTTAAGCATACAATAATTGTATCATTATTTAAAACTAATAACCAATTCTTCTGCTGCATAAATTATGTTACTGAATAATTTTATCAAATTGTTTGTTTAATAAACGTTTCTTTATTATTTATTTTCTGATAAATATTTTACATATAATAAATTACTTTATATATCAATATAACACCATAACACGGTAGTAGTGAATAAAAAAAACAATAAATTTAAAAAACTGTATACGGACCCCGAGAAGTGCCTGGCATTGCGTCTCTAAATACGAGCCTATCAGACGTGACCACGTGAATTGATGACGTAATGACACACGTGTGCCAGGAGTCTCCGGGAAGATTCGTCATTTTTCCAATAAACTCCACTAACTCCAGTTGGTTTTCACCAGTTTTCACGCACGGGACGCTGAATATTACGGAACGCAATTGAACGCAGCCAGCTATGAAAGAAGAAAAATAAGAATATTTAAGCATTTGAATTTTCGTTCTTCGCCGGGACGCCGTTGAATCTCGTTGAATTTGACAAGGCTGTCATTTTCTTTCATAATTGTCGCCGACAATTGTCGAGGAGAATCAATCGAGCGTTCGAGATGATCATCGCGGAGATACCGTAAGTATTTTCGGCACTCTTGAAAATAAACGGAAGTTCAATAACAGTCTCGAAATGATTGGAGCAACACACTTATTGAAAGGACCCTCCGATTCATCATCCACTCGTCATTTTCGAATCGTGTTCTATTTGTTTCGCAATCGCGGACGCTACGAGTTCTACTTTATAGCATCCTTCTCGACATGATAAGCTAGATTACTTCATCTCCCGTGTCTCTTCTCAGGAACACTACCTCCTACTTCTGGAAGCGAAACAGAAGCGCAACATACAGCAGCTGGCCTTTTAAGGACTCTGACAAATGCAACGCCGAACGCATGGCTGACGCTGGATTTTACGTTGTTGGAGACAGCAACGAGCCGGACTTGGTCGAATGTTTCATGTGCGGGGGACAATTCAGTGGTTGGAAACCGGACGACGATCCATGGTACGTATACGTCGCGAGTCGCGACAAAAGTAACTTGCGTGTAGACATTAGGAGCTTTCCAGTAAGAGACACAAGTCGACACAAACGTCGTTCTATCTTTCTTTTTTTGGCAATGATTTTAATAGAGACAAAATGACACTTGTGTCGACTTGTGTCGATTGCTGGAAAGCTCCCATTATCATATATATATTTTTCAGCAAAAACTTAAAAATTATGAAAATTTACAGGCGCAAGCATATGAAGGAGTATCCATTGATCTGTCCGTTTGTTAGATTCAACAAGCCAGACGAGAATAAATGGTCGATCAAAGAGCTATGTTCTTTGTGTAAAGAGTACAATATAAAAGTTGATGTAAGTATAATTGTGTGTACTTTTTAAATTGCGTTTTTTGTAAGGTCCAGTTGCGTCGATCTGTTCAGTTGATTTGTTTTACGCTTAATAACAATGTTACGCAAAACTATTTTGCAGATGGACAATGTGAAAGAGAGTCTCGCCAAAGTGAGAGCTGACATGGAACGAATAATGCACAAGCAATCTATAGATAGGATATTAAATCAAGACAAATATAGAAAAAGACCTTATCGTATTATCAACGTGTAGATAGTCTTAAATGTTACACTGGATAGCAATTGCTATCAATATTATTATAATGTAACATCCGTTCTACTTTAGAAAATTTGAATGTTTAAAGATATTTTTGTGATACTTTTCTTAAAAAATATATTGTGCGCACACAATTGAGTTTCTCATGTCTCTTAACCAGCTAATTCAATTATTAATTTAAGGAGCAATGACATTTATATTAATGCACACAAATTTGCGACAAATGATGTTCACGAGCGTCACGAGATAAACATTTTGCCTCAAATCGAGCAGTTTATAAACCTCATTATAATTAAATAAGGCACCCTGAACAGAGAAACATGCTCCGAAATGTACTGAGGACTGCAAATCTATAGTAAACGCAGGGAGTAAGATATACCCTGAGTAAACGTTACGTGAACTATAGATTTTGGTATATTTTGGATGTATACGTATGTATAGCACCGCTACCACGTGGAGCTGAGCGCCGGCATGATGTGTTTATAGGTTATAGGTGCTGTGTCAGCTGTGTTGTACATACAACACGAGTGCACAATGCCGATCGACCAGAAACGTATTAACGGTCCAGACGCTTCTACGCCGTATGATATTTATATTCACTCCGAAGTGAAAGAAGATGGGATACAACCCGGTGCCCCGAAAAGGCACGACGGCCGTTCAAATAAGGAGCTTAGAAATATCTGTAAGGTTGAGGTTATGTCACATGTAACAACAAGCTCCATTTAGAACAACTTTGATTAAAGTCTGGTTAATTTAATCGACGTTTAACTTGTCAGGAAATATCTACAGTATTTTGTCAAAGTGGACAAAATTATTTACTTTCTTTGTTCAACGGAGACAAAGATTAAGTTAAATGAGAAATTCGTAGTTAGAAGTTTATTTTAGGTGATTCTCTAGCTAAATTAATCACCGATAAAATTAACCAGAGTTTGGCCACCATTAAGCGGTCAAATTTCTTAGTTAGGTCTTATAAAAAGAATGCGTGAAGTAAACTTTGTTGAAACTTTGTTGAAAGTTGTGAAAACAGGCATAGTTAGTCAGGCAAAAGGTTCGGCTTATATCGAGATGGGCGACACCAAGGTCATCTGCTCGGTATTCGATCCCAGAGAGGTGCCGAACAAAACTGGCTACTGCGTGCAGGGGGAACTGTTTTGCGAATTCAAATTCGCACCCTTCTCTCATCGCAAACGGAAATTACATCAGCAAGATGCAGAGGAAAAGGAGTACAGCTCAATACTGCAAAGGGCTTTAGAACCAGCGGTGTGTCTGGTACGTATCTTCCATTTTTTTTTCCCCAATCGAGGGTTCAAACTCAGAATAATATGCACAAAATCATTGCTAACACCCATAACTTGTGCAACTTCAAGACTGTATCTATAATTATCAATTGTCGCGCGCTCTCATTTCAGCAAGAGTTTCCTAATTTTCAAGTCGACGTCTACGCGACAGTTCTTGACAACGGGGGATCCGCGCTGGCCGCGGCGATAATGGCAGCTAGTCTAGCTTTGGCAAACGCTGGAGTGCCGATGTTTGGTTTAGTCACTGCATCCACCGTTGTGAGTAAACGTCTGTTGAGAATTTTTATCAAGTAACGACAAAATGTATGGTGATAAAATTTTGTGTCTCTCAACAGGGCATATGCGATCGGACATATTTAGTGGACCCAACGGATGCGGAAGAAAATTTTTGTTCCACAAAGGCTGTGCCAGGCACGCCGGACGATCACGGAATCATCGTGCAAGCCGCTCTTCCACAGCACGGCCAAATTTCCGAAATGTTCGTGATAGGCAGCATCGACATGGATACCATTGAACGTTCTATGGATCTTTTGAACGATACTCACAAGGATATATGTCCCATACTAGAGCAATGTCTCGTAAAAACTGTGTTCAAAGCATTTCGCCCAAGCGGCAAAAGAACAGATAAAAAATAAAGATAAAAATTTTTTATCCTTATTTTTTAGTCTCATTTTTATCAATCCTCACTAAACTTCTGAGACTTGCATTTCTTCGAATTTCAAGTTTGAAGATTTCAATACGCGCATATATATATAGCTCTGGCTCTGGGCAATAAGCGGGAAATGTGTTCATAGAAATTGATATAATGTTTTGGCTGACTTACAAATAGTAAAATTAATTGATATTTGTAATAACAATACATAAAAGTTATATATATCTATATATATGTAATATAAAAGTTATTTTTTACCTGCTTATTGCCCAGAGTTATCGATATTAGATATCTCTAGTGTAGCCCAGATTAATTTTGGATATTTTAAGTCTTCATAGATGAGTTCAGAAAAAATTTTTATGCATTTGATTAACGTTGCGCTTCTATGATCGACTTATCGTACGAATAATCAATGCAATTGCTATAAAAGTA